TTTTGTTAGGTCATGTTCTAACTTTTGTAAGTTGTCTACAAACTTTATGAAATGAAAGCAAGACAATTCTGACACAATAATCTTCACAAATTTTTATTTCATAAAATAATAAATAACATAATAAATCATCTAAAATGATAAAAGACAGATAAAATGATAGCCACTGGCTTGTACCCGCTATTGATAATAGCTCTTCAGGTGTTCGGTGGCCCAAGGCTTTCCTAGCAAAGTTGGAGTCGCATCCTCCTCCTAGCCCTCAAGAGATTGTCTGGATTTCTCTAAGGAGTTACTGGCGTTCTTTGTCATCTTGGTCCTGGTCAAGTGGGGGGCCTCGTCTTCTGCCAGCAACGTACTGCCTCAACTGGCCACGCTGAATAAGCTCCTCGATTTGTTTCTTTAACTCGAACCAGTCGTTAGTGTCGTAGTTGTGGTCAAGATGGAAGCGACAATACTTATTGGGATTTTTGCGATTTTGGGGCAGTCTTTATTTTTTTGGGCCAGCGGAGCATGGAGTCATCCTGTATCTGGAACAGGAAGTGCTCTACCGAGGCGTTGAGTGGCATGAAGGGTAATCGTTCTCTCAGGGATATGAGACCAAGGCGGTCCTTGACAGAGACTCTCTCTATCCGATTCCACTTGTTATTTGCTTCTCTCCTATCCTCGCGGGTATCCTTTCTTTTCTCACCCCCACAGGAGGACTCACCATGTCGGGCTTTGGTGACATCCTCAGCATTCATATACTTATGTGCCCTTGACATCAATTAGGGCATACGGGAGAGCATCTTCTTTAGGATAGAGAACATGAAGCTAGAGGAGCGCAGACCTGGAATAAAGGCGACCATGGTTACCGTATCGTCTAGTTCCTCGATCTGGAGAGCCTCCTCGTTGAAACTAGTGAGTAGCGCCTAAAGCTTTCATCCTAGTCTTGCTTGATGGTGAGCAAGTGGGTAAAAGGCTTTTGATGCTAGCATCTCCTAATGAAGTGGGAGACAAAGGATTTGCTCAACTCCGTGAAGGAGTGGATAAAAGAGAGTTTGATCTTCGCAAACCATTGTCGAGTAGACCCCTGTAGGGTGATGGGAAAGGCTCTACACATAATCTCGTTAGGCACGTTGTGGAGTTGCATGAGAGATTTATACGTGTCGAGATGATCTAGAGGGTCCTTGGTACCGTCAAAGATCTGGATGGCTGACATCTTGAACTTCGAGGGTAGAGGTAATTAACAACATATGCAACAAACGAGGTATTAGTGGGCCTTACCAAGTAATCCACCATCTTGGGCTCCTATGCTTTGATGACGTTGAGGGTGTCTCCAATTTGGTTTTGCACCTCCTTGATCTTCTCGTCCCATTGGTTTGGGACATCCTCCATCGGGTCATTATAATGGATTTCATGATAGGAGGGGAAACACATGAGTTTCCTACGCGTTGAGGAAGGACTCTTGGGTGAGGGGCGCCTGGGCGCTGGCTAGGGGCTTTCTAGTGCGAGACTCCACTATGGGGAGCCGCTTGGCACCCAGATTGGAGAGGTGCTTGAGAAAATTCCTTGTTGTTTCCTAACCTCTAAACATCACCTTTTAGCATGTATAGTATATGAATGAAGGGGAGTGTCACTCTCCTAGGGATGATGTCAAAAGAAAGGGCAACAGAATGGTGAATGAATGAGATTTTAAATATGAGTATGTGTGAACAAAAGTGCTCCCTAAGCGCAAGGACACTTTCGTGGATCGTGTTTTACTTGGTGGTATTCCAAGGTCGTTTCCACGGGGAATGAATTAAACTGAGGGGAAGGTGATTTTTGGGAGAAAGAAAGTGTAAAATCTTTGATTGTTGGAAGTTATTTGGTGAAGTTGTTTTGATGCTAGTAAAATGAGAAACAAATGTTGGCAAATCTAAGAGGTCACTCCAATAGGAATACAGTCTCAACTCGAAACCCTCCTCCAATAGAACATGAATGAACGATTGATTCGTAAGAAGCTAGGGGTAAGATTGGTGAGTATCTAAGCATAAACCGTGATTAGGCCTACGAAATATCAAAGACTCACTAAGTTATCCACCCTCAACCCAGTCAAATCGAACCATTGAATTCTGAAAGAGGGGAGGAGAATGAGTTGAAATGGTATACCCAAGTGGAGGTTCCTCTTGATTTTGCCAACTAAGAGATTTAGCTATTCATGCTTAAAATAAAGACAACAATATGATGAGAAGACATTATGAAGAATAAAGACTAGAGCTAAGCATAAACGAAATGCATAAATATAACTTCCAGATAATCACCTTTTACTAAAGATTGGATGAGAAACTACTCACTCTTCATGGCTTTGCTAAAGCTAAAAAAGTGAGTGATGCTCATCCCTCCAAGTAGAGGAGTTACAAGGTAAAACACTTTACACAAGGAGCCGATCTTCGACAAAGAATGAGTGAATCACATTCCACCCTTCACAGTTTTAGTAAAACTCTAGAAAAGTGAAAGAGTTTCACTCCTCTAAGGGAAGAAGAAAGCTCAAGTAATGGAAATAAAATAAAGCAATAACACAATAAAAGAAAGTAATATTTAAAGTAAAAGAAAATAATAAATTAAAAGAAAGTAATAATACAATAAAAGAAAGCAATACTTAAAGAAAGCAATAAGCAATAACACTTTTGGAGGGTGAAAGTCTTGTTAGGTGACTTTGAATCTTGTTAGGTGGCCTTGAAAAGTCTTGTTTGGTGGCATGAAAGTCTTGTTAGGTGACTTTGAATCTTGTTAGGTGGCATGAAAGTCTTGTTAGGTGGCCTTGAATTCTTTGATCCCCTTTGTTTTGAGCTTTGATAATTGGCACCCCAATAGTTTGTAGCTTTGACGTACAAAACCCTGAAAAGAACAACAATTAATGCATTATCCTTTATTCACACACTAACTCTAATTTGATTTATTTTGACTAGTTCACTTTATTCAACTAACACAATTTACCTATTAAATTATGCCTTAATTAGAATTAATCAAGAGGTTTTAGTGCTTCTCCCGTAGGAAGGAGTGGTGCTCCTCCTATAGGCTGAGGGGCGACGCCTCTAGGGCCGAGCATCAACTGAATGATTCGCTGGTTCTGGTTTACCAACAGCTGCATTGTTTGTAAAAAGTGTTGCCCTATCACAGGAGTTGCCGCAGTGGATGGTTCAGAGGGTACGGGGGAAGGTAGAGCCTCCTTTCAGGGGGCGGATTGTTGTCTCCTAGTTGTTGACTCATCAACCTGGTCGTGATTGCCATGGATTTCAAGAGAGTAGCAAGGTAGTAGAAAACTTAGTTGTTTCCCACAAACGACACCAAACTGATGATGCACAAAATAGTCTCATACAAGTTCAACAATCGAGTGTGCGATAAGGTGTAGTTAATGGACAATAACTAAAACAATCAATGTCAGTAATGTAAATATTAAATCACCACACAAATATATAATGGTTCGGTCCAGGTGACCTACTCTACTCTGAAAAACGACAATGGTGGCCTAAGGGTCTTTATTGATGAAGTAAGGTGAACAAGAAAGAAAGAGCAATGATTAGCTCCGGAAGAGATACAATAGCTAGGAGAGAGAAAGTGTATAGAGTGGTGTAGAGGTAGAGCTCAATGTGTCCTCTCATGTAGAGAGAACTTACAATTTATAGGCACAAAACCTTAGTTGAGACGGTGACGTGAAGCTGAAGGTACTAGATCTTCTGGGAGGATAGCTACAAAAAGTAAGTACAATTAAGGTAAAATTGATCTTCGAGGGTGTGTACCCCGATGATTTGTCCCCATGTGCTATAATTCTTTTTGGACTCTTTAGAACTTAAGCTAGGCGGGATTTGCGAATTGAGCTTGACCTACCTTTTAGTTGACTTGGACTTGCTGAATTTATTAGGTCTGACCCAGTTGGATTTGGGCTCATCATATTAGACACTGGGTGAAGACGATTGTAGAGGAAGTGCGAGCGTTAACAATGCTACAAGCCTAGATTTTCGTATGTTTCCCTTGCAGGCCTGCGAAGGCTTCTATTACTTCTGCTCGTATCCACCAACAATCACTCATTTTTGCAATAGTTGAGAAAGGTTGGAGGATAGGGTTCGTGTACATGGGCATTCTGGCCTTTCAAAATATAAATTTGCAACGAATAGTTTTTCCAATATTTTGTCTGTTTGGATATAAAACCTTAACAGTTTTTCTTTGGTTCAAAAACGTAAAAGGAACATTTTTGAAGATTACAGAAAATATGGCTCAAGATCTAATCACGAGAGTGAAAAGTCACTTTCTTTTGTGTGTGTATTGATGTTTTTTTTTTTTTTTGGTTTTGGGCGCCGGGGGGTGGGTGGTTTCTTGCATAGATAGAATTGTGCTCTTATAAATCTTCAGACAGAATTGCACTAATCCCCCCAACTCTCACTACACACCATAAGTATTCTAGACTCCAGAGGGATGAGAAGCGGCACTCATAGCACCACACACAGCTGCTTCTCATTTCCAACAGAGAGATTTCTGGCACCAAAGTATTTATGCCTATTTCACTTTGAATCGGAAAAGCAAAAAAAGAATGAATTGTTTTCATAAGTGCCCCCCAAATTGAACGATTCACTCATTGGACAGCCAAAATGAAGGATTCACAATAACTGGGAAATGTCAAACTCGGATCAAAGAAGAGCTAAGAAAAACCAAGAGAGGACTTGAAGATGATCTGGCACGTTTTTTACTTTATCAAAAAAAAAAAAAAATGGAATCAAGAAATAGAATCCATTTTCATTGTTGCAACGCTATCTACATGGTACCAACAGGGTATGCCTGTGATCTCATTGTAGTTAATGTTTGCTATTCAATATAATTCTTTTTTTTTAGTAAGTATCATTCAATAAAAATTCTTTGATAAAAAAAATAAAAATAAAAATAAAAATTTTTACTTACTGCAGAGAATACGAAATGTCAGAGCAAAATAAACATACAATGAGATGCAGGATCCACCATGTTTAACCAAAAGAAGGGAAAATAATCTGATATTAGCTAGAAGGTACGGACTTTTTTAAACTTTCCCATTTGGCTGGACCTTTTGGATGTATATTGACAAGATATTTCACAAATCTTGTATCTGAACATGCCAAGAGTGTACTCACTGATAGCATGGGCTTTGCTGCAGCTCTCTTCCTTAGCCATTCATACATTGCAAATCTGAGATTGATTCTCCCTATATCGTAGCATAAGTATGACGGAAATGCTATGATGGATTCCACTGGGTAACCTAAACACGTTTTCAAAATATGGATCTTCTTCTTGAGCACTTCTGTGGTCTGGTTTAGCACTGATGGAGCTTGTTTTATCATATTAGATACAACATTGCAGTCCAAACCAGCTTGTACCAAGCAATCAAACCTCTCCTGTAATTGATCCCCTCTGCCCCGGAACTGTTTCAAAGCTTTAGCCATTTCGTCTGAGTTTTCAATATAACCTAATCTCAACAAGAAGGTGGTTTTCTTCGAATAATTAGCTGGATTATGGAAAGCTAGCTGTTCAACGGCATTAACATTTGACTTTGAAGCCAAGCTGAGCAGCTTCAAAGGGTCTTCCTTTATAATTTCACTTAAACTGTATCTATCACCTTTAAAATTTCTCAAGACAGTTATCGGTCCTTTAAGAGAATGAGAGCTCAGAAGTAGCAAATGGGTAGAAACAATCTCTGCAATGTCTTCTGTTTCCATTCCTATTTCAAACAGGAAATACACTCCCTTCAAAAGATTTTTTGCACACTTCGGTGATAAAATTTGTGGACTTCCTATGAACAAGGAATAAACCTCATTCATTTTAAAACCCAATTTGAGTAATAGGCCAACCAATACATAGATCCGTTTCCCGGAACCTTCAAACAATAATGGGGGATTTGTCTTAAACAAAATCACCATCTGTGTTTCACTATAACCTACACCACTAAGAAAACTAATTGTGTCAAGCATTCTGTTCCAATCATAGGTCCTTTTGTCTGATAAATACCCTCCGATCCAATCATTTCCAAAGCCTAATCCCTTCAACTTTTCAAGAACCACAGCAAATTCATTGTTCACACCACCTATCAAGAGCAGAGGGCAGCAACTCGCCAGCTTAATAACTGTGGGTCGACCCAAGCCTAGTTCTTCATAAGCCTTGAGTTTCATAGCCAAGACTCCATAGTCGTAGCTAAATATCTCATTTGCTTCCTTAAAGATCTTACCAATTTTGCTACGGGGAATACCATAATCACAGAGAACATGATAGTTATCAAGCAAGCCATGATCATCACTCAAGAATATCAGATTCCGTGGAAGAAGAGATGTGAGTTCAGCTGGGTTCAGACCCAAACTCTCCAAGAATGGTTCAAACTCATTAATTGGATGATATCTAAAAAACTTAGACAGAGCCCTTGACATGTCTTGCTCGTTCTCAACCTTGGAAAGTAAATTCTGAAGGAAATGGGGGGAGTTCTTGCTAATATGCTCTGCATCCGTGAAATGGAAGCCTCTAGTACAATGCAAATAATCAAATAGTGCAACCTGGGCATCGGTTCTTGCAACCCTTGAAATTCGATTAGCAGCAAGAGGAATGGATGACCGAGTTAATTCGGTACTATGACAGCGAAAACCTTGAATTCTCATGGACGAGGAAGATGGGCTCATTATGGTACTGGGTTTTCCGTAAACAGCAGGAGAGAGAAAAAGGTGGTTCAGTTGGGAAATCATTTTACAGATACAAGACACTCTTTTACTGCTTCTGCCAAATAACATGGCAAATTGTTGAGCTGGAGAGAGAGGAGTTTGCAGAGATCAAGAAAGACAGCTATTCACACTATAAACATACAGAGTTAAATCAATTGAGGCGAACAGGAAACAGCAAAAATGTGAAGTCCATGTGTGTTCTAATGAAATAACAATAGAGAACTCGAAAATTCATAGAAGAAAGAGAACATTCAGAGTGGGTTTCGGTATTTTGTACCTTTGATTTGAGGATTTCTGTACCTTTTGGCTTCTCTGGCAATTACATTTACAACTGATACACTTTTGCTCGACCCTGCCGGTGCAGAAATTGAATTAGAACAGAATTTCCAGTGTATGGTGAAGTGGAGAAAGAGAGAGAGAGAGAACTTCATCCACAAACCCTAGAAGGGTTTTGTGGAATTGTTTTTTTTTTTTTTTATAAATTGAACTAATACACTCTGACATTTGCCACGAGTTAAACTTTAGTCCCAAAAATTTTAATTAATAATTAATTTAATTAATTTATTCTTTAAAGTTCACAGGATCGATATGGTCCTAAACACTTATTGTCATTAGAATTTGGATTAATTGTGCTGGAGATACTTAAAGTATAATATTTGTCTTATTTTGATCCATAATATTTTAATTACATTATTTTAGTCACTTAAATATTGAATATGTTTATATGTGTTTCCTTAACCGGACAGTATATAAATTATTAATGATTTTTTATCATAAGTTTGTTACGATATAATTAAATATGGGTAAAAAATAATTTGAGTAACTCTTGACAAAAATTTGAATAGCTCTTCACAAAAAAAGTGTAATATGAGTAGCTCTTAATAAAATTTTTGATAACTCATGATTAAAATTATATAATTTGAATAACTCTTTGACCAAAATTTGATTAAAAACTATCCAAATTATATTTTTTGTTCATATTTAGGTTTTACGTAAGAAATTTATAATAAAATATCATTAGCAATTTGAACAATGTCTGCATGAGGGATCATATAAAAATATATTCAGTACTTCAAGGACTAAAATAATGTAATTGAAATATTAGGGACTAAATTGAGATAAACCTCATACATTGAGGACCTCTAGTACAATTAACCCTTAGAATTAAAGATGAAAAAAAAATTAATTTTATTTCTAGGCACATATTAAGGTACTAAGCACATGAAGCTGACACAATTATTGTCCTTAAAATCCAAACATAAGATGAAAAAATTAAAATATATTAACGTTCTAGGCACATAAAGCTATTAACTGACATTTTTTTTTTTTTGAGAGATTTGGTGAGAGGTCCCCATGTAGATACTTTTTTTGGCTTTAGAACCAACCCCAACATGTTTAAGGTCAAAAGTTTACAAAATCAACCCTTAGCAAAAATACTTTTAATGAAAGAAGTTATTTAAAAACTTTCACCATTATCTTATTTATACATTTATTATCACTACAATCATCATCCCACCACTGTCACCACCATTCGCCACCACCACTCACAGCCACTATCGTCACCCACCACTATTCACCACCGCTCCCACTATTTGCCACCACCACCACTCATCGCCATTATTGTTATCAACCACCACCCACTGCCACCATCACTTAAAACCATTATCGCCAACCACCCCCTCACCACCTCCTGTCACTGTCACAATCACCAACCGCTAACCACCACCACCTACCACCATCACAACCACCCACCACCACCAACCACCGTTATAACCACCCACCCACCACTGTTCAATACTATAACCACTACCACCCCCCACACCCACCTACCCACCACCGCTACCCATTGTTGTCAACCACCACACTCAGAATCCATTACTACAACCCATCTCCACCACCACTCGTCGTTGCCCCCACCACCATCACCTACCATTACTACCAACCACCCACTGCAAACCGTCCAATACCACCACCATCGTAGTTGCCGCCAACACTACTCACCATGGCTACCCATTGTTGCCTAAAACCACCACAAAAAACATTTAAAAATAAGTAAACTCAAAAATATTGAAAAAAAATATAAATAGTGAACTTTAATAAAATAAAACTTTTATACTTTGTTTGGTATGATGGAAAAATGGAATGATGAAAAGTTTGAAAGATGAAAAGTTGGACGGATAAATAAAATATCATATTTGGTAAGGAAGAAAAATAAGAGAGATGAAAAGGTGGATGAAAAGTTAATTATTTATGTTGAGATATATCTTATTTGTCTATATATCTTTTAATATATACATATATTTTGGATAAACTAATTTCATAAAAAATGCAATGATAAAATATATATATATTAAAAAAATTTAAAAATAAATTTAAAAATAAAAATTTCATCTTAACTAGGGGTGACATTTTTTAATTCAACACGATCATATGACTCGAACTTGACATGAACTTGATTATAACTCGACACAAATTCGAAAATAACCTGACACGTGAACGAAAAATATAAAAAACTCATATTTAGTTTAATCAGTCAAACTCAAAATTGACACCATCGATTAAGTGAAACTAGAATATTAGCGTAAAATCTTTTATTCAAAGTTTATGAGAGTCAACACGAATACGAACACGACACGAAAATAAACAGGTCAACTTTCAACTGAACACGGTGCAATCAGTTAAATGACTTGAGTTAGGTTTGATTAATGTTCGACAAAAATCCGTAATGACTCAACGCGAATTTGACACGACACGACTTGATCGTCTCCCCTAATCTTAGCTAGTACAGAAAAAAAAATAGTCATTTTTATTTTTCATCCATCCAACCAAACACAAATGAAGGAAAACATATCTGTGACACTCCTAAAACTGGGGGTCCCGTTGATCATCCATCAACCCACGGAAATACCTGTGAGTGCCACATAATCTGACATCACGTTAATTAATATCCCTTTAACCGGAATTATAGCCCACACCTGTAACCCGTGTGTGTTTTATCATTTAATTTAACCATGGTTCACAGTATCACAAATCATGCCACTTTATTGTTCAAATACATCATTGGGACCTGTGACACCCTAAAATCCGGGGGTCCGTTGATCACCCATCAACTAACGGAATACCCGTGGATACCGAGTAACTCGATATCATGCCGTAAATGTCCTATTTACTAGGATCCATAATTTAACAAAATTCGGACAGAGTCTCCTTTGTACGGGGAGCTCTACCCAAAACTCAACCTATACAATAGACATTCACATGACCCATCCGAGGCGAATATAATACAATAACCGCACCAGGTCCATTTATGAGTAAAAATTGACCACACCGGGTCCATTTATCCATACTCATATAAAAACAATCAAGGTTATATTAAAACTGTCCATATAAACTCAATTACAATTCTTTTACATATTACATTGCCAAAACATAGTTTTACATAAACCCAGGTTAAAGGTCACAATCCGGCCTCTCTTCACCCTTGAGGATCCAAGTGAGGGTCGTCCACCGATATGTATTCAGCACTTGAAATATTTTTTCATATAGGCTGAGCCACGCCTAGTAGAGTAATTCTTACAAAGGCTACTCCCCACCTAAGTGCACATGCAATGCTCACATACAACATTTCATATTCACATCAACATTCCAAGTAAGAATATGCAATCAATGCTGGAATTTATCATGTCATCCCATAAAATGAGATGAGACTCACTCATGCAAATCAACCCGAGCCCTTCCTAACTCCTCAGCACATGCAAGTGTCAATGTGTATGGAATCGTTATTTATGTTGCACATCAAATGACTTTTACCAATCTAGGGTCTTTGTATGGGGTGGATGTTCATGGGCTTACACCAAGGGTCTTCAACCTACTTAAAATTTATGAACTTCCACCAAGGGCTCCGCGTACGCCCACACACTTCATGGTGCAAAGCCAAGAGAGTGCGTATCCCAATCACCGAGCCTTGCACCCAAGGGATCTTCTAGTCCCTCCTTGCTAACCCCAACCCTAATCACCATGCAACCTGTGCGACTCGGCCAAGTCTTCGACCAAGTTTAATCGAGTCCACTCATCATCCACCAAGTGTGGTGTTGACGACAACCATCCACACACCCACATGATGCGATGTTACCATGCATATGTAATATGATGTCCCATTGCTCAATGATACCCATTGCACAATGATAACATATTCAATATGCTATAAAAGACATATGAACAATATCAATACATTTCACATATCTCATGGCAAAATTATATCATAAGCATATAATTCTCATAATTCTCCTCAAAATTAATATAACACAAGCATGTATATACATTGACAATTTTTATATCACAATTCCACAACATAATTCCAAGCATGTTATCACAACCTTTATGTCAATAACACACTTAATCACAAAGGTGCAATATACCACATAAACCGCACATGTAGTAGTCCACATAACGGCCTTTATATAAGCCACAGAATAGTCCCTATATAAGCCACCAAAAAAGCCCCTATATAGACCATAAAACAGTCCCAAATTTAGCCACAAAATTGCCCTTAAAAAGCCCAAAAGACAACCACAAAACAGCCCTAAACAGGCCATTATACAACCCAAAAAGATAGCCACAAAATAGCCCCTATATAGGCCATAAAACGGTCCCAAAAGACAGCCACAAAATAGCCCCTAAACAGGCCATAAAAACAACCCAAAAGATAGCCACAAAATAGCCCCTAAACAGGCCATAAAACAGTCCAAAAGACAGCCACAAAATAGCCCCTAAACAGACTATTAAACAGACCAAATGACAGCCACAAAATAGCCCATAAACAGGCTATAAAACAGTCTCAAATTCAGTCCAAAATACAACCATATAACAGTCCATATTTTAATCCAAAACGGTCCATCATTTCAACCCCAAAACAGTCCATCATTTCAGCCCCTAAACCGACCCTAGAACAACCCCAAAAGAGAGGAATAAAACCAAAGTAGGAAGGACCCTACCTATTGTAGTGTAGATTGAAGTGTAGAAACTTCAAGAACACCAAAACCACCTCCAAAACTTGATTTCCCCAAATC